GCGATAACAAGGTTTTTTGCACAAGGGGCAATAACTTTTGAAAGGGTTAATCTTTGGGGACAAGAATAAAATATTTGAAAGAGTTTTAAGAGTACATATTAATGATGCAAAGACATTAAGTATATATTGAAAGACAAAAGAAATATCAGAAAAAGCTTAATTTCTATTTTTAAATGACCTTTACCTTTCCTTTGCATGAAAATTTTAGATAAAGGTAATAATCTTATGCAGTTGGTCCCTGTCTCTACATCTTCTCGTTTTAAAAAAAATTATTTTTTTGTAAAACAAAAAGTTTGGGGGAATAACTCATTGAAGGGGTTCAAATTTTAGCAATGAATAGATTAAAGTCCTCTTAATTAGTCGAAGACATTGGTGAAGGGTTTTATACTTTGGTTTAGGTTTTCAGAGGGGAACATAACAAGCATTTCTTGCAAAAGGGGCAATAAATTAAAGGGGGGAAGGTTCATTACGCAGGGTGAACTGCAATAATCTTTTACGGAGTACATTCTTATGGAGCTCTAAATCTTTTTCGATATATTTGAAACTCAAAATCACAGGCGGAAAAATAATAATAATGGAAAAAAAGCAGGAATCAATGAGGTCTTCTCACAGAAAGGTGGAAAGACCTAATAAGCATTTCAAAGGTCTTTCCACAGAAAGGTGAAAACCTGAATAAAGGGATAAGCTTTCAAAGGATGTCTTTCCACAGTAAAGGTGGAAGACCTAATAAATAATAAACATAAGCATTTCAATAGGTCTTTCCACAGAACAGGCGGAAAACCTAATAAAAAAGGGAAAAAGAAACCGAACGAAAACAGTAAGGTCTTCCGTTGGAGACGGAAGACCTTTATAATAATAGGGGAAAAGAAACCGAACGAAAACAATAAGGTCTTCCGTTGGAAACGGAAGACCTTAACTAGAAACTCTTGATGCTACAGCAACAAAACGGTCTTCCGTTCTCCTCTATTTATCTGTATGAATGAGCTTTTATCTATGTTAGAAAAGGCATATAATATTTAAAATGAGGAAAACAGACGGCCGAAGGTGTAACTTACCAAGATTCTCGACATTACTTTAGACAAGTATAGCTTTAATAACATTTGTAAAAATTATTTTCAATTTTTTTATCACTTCCTGTGACGACCGGAAATGACAGCGGGCGCATTTTACCCTATATTTGTTGCTCAATCTTCATAGTTTATTATTCATATAAGTTAAGTGTCTTGTTCTGTAACAGTTTAAGAGATGTCGTAATGTTACTTCTCATTTTGATGACAAGAAATCACGTGACCAAAAGTATATTTAAAAAAAAGATATTTGAGGTTACTCTAGACATTTCAGTCTGAATAGCATGTCCTAAAATCATTTCAAATACTCTTTTTATAAAAGATATTTATGGGATAGTATGACTAAATTTATGCAGCTTTTCTCTCATAACTGGAAATAGTCGTTTTTGGTTCCAGTGGGGGTGACATATTTCAAAACTACAAATAAAAATGCTATAATGTATTACCAAGAAAGATTCCATAAAGAAAAGTTGAAATTTTCGATTTATTTGATCACTTCCTGTGACGACAGGAAGTGACGGCGGACAATCTTAACCCAAATGGGCTCGCCTACTTATCAAGATCTATTACTCGTATAAGTTTGGTGTCTTCATCTCTTACCGTTCACGAGATCTAGCTATGATCACTTCTCATTTTGAGGAGAGGAAATCACGCGACCGGAAGATGATTTTAGAAAGATATTTAACGTTACTGTAGACACATGCAGTCTAAATAAGATATCCAAAAATCATAACAAATACTTTATCTATAAAAGTATTTATGGGAAAGAAAAATACTCAAAATATGTAGTTTTTCTCTTATAACCGGAAGTTGTCGTTTTTGTTTACGGTGGGACTGATACCATTCGAAACTACAAATAAGATGCTATAATGCGATGCAAAAAAAGTTTCATAAAAAAGAAAAGTTGAAATCTTTGATTTTTTTCATCACTTCCTGTGACGACCGGAAGTGACGGCGGACGATCTTAACACAAATGGGCTTATCTACTCAATCACGATCTATTATTCCTGTAAGTTTGATGTCTTCATCTATTACCGTTTCTCAGATATGACTGAGACAAAATATTTTTGAAATAACGGAAATCGGACATATCTGAAGACCGGAAGTGAATTTTGAAAAAATGAAGAAAACGTCGGGGGCGTATTTTGGTTTTCTATCATTTCTGAAAATTTTAAGGAAATCCGTCCAGCCATCTCTGAGAAATTCGTCTGACCAGAAAAGGGGAAAAAAATAAAAATAAACAGTAGAATCACTATAAGGTCTTCCGTCTGAAACGGAAGACCTTAATAAAAAGAGAAACAGTAGAATCACTATAAGGTCTTCCGTCTGAAACGGAAGACCTTAAAGAGAAAACAATAGAATCACTATAAGATCTTCCGTCTAAAACGGAAGACCTTAATAATAGACTTTTACGAGAAGCACTGACTTTCACAGTTGAGGCTTTTCTTGACATTTAAACCTGCATCATGTATGGAGGTACGGAATTGATAATAGATAAGTACACCTTTCAAGTGGTCATAGGTGGTGCCCCTTATTATGTTGTTAGGGGCACTAACATGTGAAGACCGGGAGTTAAGGGAAGGTAGGTTGTTTTTCTTTAAAGGACAACTGATTTACGCTTTGAAGTAAATGTCATTTGGTTGAATTAAATGTTGAGCTAAATATTTATTTCGTAAAATAGTTTCCGTTCATTGTTCTAGTGTAAAAGTAAGCTGCCAACTGTAAAAGTCAGAGCTACTCGTAAAAGTCCAATGATAATAGGGAAAAAGAAACCGAACGAAAACAATAAACCTTAATAAGAAACAGATTAAAAACATTATGTTCCCCAACTTCGTTTGGGGAACATAACAATCAATAGTTATATTCCGCAATCAGGTGGGGATGAACACGACATCATGAACATGTGACAGTTCAATCACAGGCGTGCACCTGACGTTAGACGTTACTTATTTTTCTTTTGATAAGAAATAATATACCCCCTACCTAATAATAAACACAAGGTAAGGGCTATATTATTTTTATTAAAAGAAAAATAAGTAACGTCAGGTGCCTGTGATAGTGATAACTATATATGTAAGTGATTAGAGCTTCCTCGTCTGATGTCATACATGTAGTAAAGGGAAGTAACTTGAGTGCGCGAATTTTTGAAATCGTGTATACTCAGTACCTTCTCATATTTATAATGCATTGTTATGTTAATTGCATTATTACGTTACAGTAATGAATAGCAGCTGCAGTATCTGTTTTTAGAAACGTCGTTATAAAGACCATTGTGACGTCAGCACTAGTGTTGCTTCACAGCCTTTTGATTTGGTATAACCCTAGATATATAGACCTTAGAGAAAGCATATCGACCTCGCCTCGGTCGATATGCTTCTCTAAGGTGTATATATACTGGGATTGACCTCATCAAAAGGCTATGATTGTATGATATTTATGAATCTTTTAAAAGGGCTTTTATGTAACATTGATATTTCTAAACAGCTGCGTTCGGCTTTTTGATTGATGCAATGAATTCTTCCCTCTGTTATTCGAAGATTTATAAGCAGGAAATCATGATTGAAATTAAAAAAAATATTATAGATAAAACACAAAAATACTCGCATATCATCGAAAATGAAAGATGAAAAAACCCAGATTCTAGTTTTTTTTAATTTGCTGCGGATATTAACGGGTTTTGTATCTAAAATTTAGTGACAATCCTTAAGTAACAGTAACGTTTACAAAAATATTTTTAGAATATCATCTTCAGTTTAAATTTTTTTTCTTGTATCATAATGGCTATCAAAATAATTGTCCTTATACAAAGAATCATAATTTTTAATTTGTTATATGCTTGCGTTAAATTTAAGTTTTGTAAAAAAAAAATTGATCATCAAAACCTGTCACTGTACGTTGCGTATGTATAGTTTCCTATTAGTTGACTGGGGACTGGTGGGCACATTTTCTGCGACCAGTCGATATACTGTACGCTGTTAATCTGATAATCTTACCCCGCTTCCCAATGTGTATAAATCTGGTCGGATGTCTTCTTTAATCTGATCGGTTGTTCTTCTGAAAATCGTTTTAGAAATAACAATTATTGAATACCGACTATATTTTGACAGATACTTACCGTTGCATTATTAAAAACAAAATGTGTTTGTGAAACACCATGCGCCCGGCGGCAACAGGAGTTCCAAAAACTATTTTTAGCATATAGATCACAGTCAAGGTCATAAGGTCATTCATCTTGTGTCGTTTGAATGGACTTAATTGGTGGAGTATGCATATTAAATATGAAGTCTCTATCTCTCATGGTTCATCAGTTATGGCGAAAGTTTCAAAAAGCTAATTCTAGTATATAGGTCACAGTTTGGAGGGGGGCTGCTAGAATAAGTGCTTGGTAGTTGGCTTAGTTTTTCCTTTACCTAGTTGCTTGGTACATTTTGCTTTAGTAGCTTGGTGTTGGTGGCCTCTAAGCTTTCAGCTTTCAGTTCTATCAGGCTCCCTCCACAGCTGTCTCGGAGCACCGGTCGGAGTATCTTCTGATTATAGGTTATCTTCACAAGTGCATGACGACAGTTCCCGCCCTCCCTCCCGGGTAACACAGCTTTGCGGCTGCTAGTAGAAGACTCAGTAATGAAGTCATGTGCTTGGGGATAGGTATTCCTTAAAGTCCATGGTATACTTGACCCACCGGCGTATTGATACGCTCTGGTGCCAAGACAAATACCTAGTGATCTATCACTTAAATAGGCGTAGTGTTTTCTGCATTTCTGCTATATAGGAATAAACTTCTGATCCTGTTTGAATTAAAGAATGGGGCAAAGAAAGGATCTCTTTTCAATTCGGCCCAAAGTATTTATTTGAGGAGTAACGGCCCAAGGGAATTATCATCGCTTTGTAAACCAACCACGAACACGTCTCATAAGCCATATCCTATACTTCCAGCTCCGAGAGTGAGAAGGAACCCTGCCACCAATAAGGAAGCTAGTCGCTCTCAACAGCGACGGAATGAAGATGTCGCCATAAACCGGAACTCTCGGGGGGTAGCATCTGAAAACAGTGGACGTATGAAGGCATTTTTACGTTGTAAGGAAACAACTAGCATTGTAACCTACAACGTCAACACACTACTTGATGAGGATAAGAGGTGGGAATTACAGCATTGCAGACATTGGCAGTACATAGGAATTCTCGGTGTGCAGGAGCATCACATCATTCACTCTGACCACACTGAGTACACCAAGTTTGACACAAGCACTCTAGTGACTTCATCTGGATGGAGAAACAAATCACAGGCAACACAGGATGGGGTTGGACTACTCTTAGAAAGGAAAGCTAAAAAAATCTCTACTGAAAATGGTTCCATCTAAGAATGGTAGAATACTAATAGCTGAATTTGATGCAAATCCTCGTACAACCATCATCTATGCTCCTACCAACTGTACAGTGGAATCTGTTATTGAGGAATTCTACACAGAGCTGAGAAACGTACTCCAGGATGTAAATATAAGTAGGGGTTCCTTGCCCACAACTTCCTTGCAGTCATGGGAGATTTCTATGCTAGACTTGGCCCTGAGCATGTACCTCATCTATTTCACGAGCAAACAAACAGAAGTGGAAACTATCTTGCTGAAACCCTCGATGAATTCGGACTACTAGCTGCAAACGCACAGTTCAAGAAGCGCCCTGGAAAATCCTAGACATTCAAATGTAGAGCATCCAACACACTGAGACAACTTTCAAGACAACATTCTTCTCCGTCAAAAATGGAGAAATAGTGTTCATAATGCAGAAGCGTACAACTCCTTCGGTAGTGTAGTCTGACCATAGAATAGTGTCTGTGAAGATCAAGCCCAGTCTGGAACCTCAAAAACAGCTCAGAAAGTCTAATACGACTAGAAACAGTTCTCCAACAACCCTGTGATGAATAGATTTCAGATACTGACTGATGAGAGTAACAGCAGATCATCACAAACGTAACTTTTTACTTCTAAACATAAGGGTTTCAGTAATATGTCCATAAGATGACTCAGTCTTTGTGTAGGAGCATTTGGTCTAAATGTAAGATCATCCGGGTCGTTACATGTAATATATGCATTGTTGTTGACTCTATCACCAGGTAACGTTATAACGTTACATGTTTCAATAGTAATTGTTGCTTTGTCATTTTTTATCATTATATATATATATATATATATATATATATATAATATATATATATATATATATATATATATATATATATATATATATATATATATATATATATATATATATATATATATATATATCCAAATTTGAAAATTTCACAGTGTCCGGTTTTTTACCTATATATATATATATATATATATATATATATATATATATATATATATATATATATATATATATATATATATATATATATATATATATATATATATATATATATATATATATATACTACAAACTACATTGTGACTTCATAATGCCTAAAGTTATCACGACGTCATTAGCAACGTTATTGACAACGTTTTGAATTTACGTCACAATAGCGCTTCAAAGACGTGACGTCGCACCGGTGCGATTGAAAAAAAAAGTTTCATACGATAAAGCAAAACAAAAATTTATTTGCGTAATACATATGTTAAAAAATAGACACGCCTGTAACTGTCCGAAAAAAAATATTGTACAATGTCGTCAATTTATAGATTTACTGGTTATTTTTCTTAATAGTGTTTTAACTATTTTTTTTTATAGTTCATGAATGACCTTATTCATTAGAAGTGAAAAATGTTTATGAACAAATCCATGTACGTGTTTACCTCAATAAGCTCTGCAGAAAATCGCGTCATTGTCATTTCCGGCTGAGCTCCAGACTCTACAGATAAGTGGTGTCCTGCATTTATTTTAATGTTTTTTTTTGGGGGGGGGGGGGGGGTGTTTGGGGTTACATATTAAACATTCCAGGTTGTTTCTCCGTTAGTCAGAAAGGCCCGAGAATTGGCGACTCAGTGCCCAAAGTTTGTTATCAGAGATTAAGTAATCGAATCAAGTTAACTGATACTAGCATAGTTGCAATAGGATTTTGTCAATACATAGTTAGAAAAAAAACATGAATGCAGCAGCTAGGAAACTGTCTGTAGCAATGTCATAAAGGATGAAGTGGCGAAGACATACGGACTTCTGTATCTTCTCATCAACACCGTCACCTTTGGCGCAACACTCTGAGGTTTGAAAACTGACGTAATTAAATGTGAAAATAATCAACAGTTGTCATTTTCAAAACTTATTTGAAGTCTTATATTCATTGCCTAAATTTATTGAAATAAATTAAAACTACGTGCTAATTGTAACGGGATCGTTACAGATGTACCCAAACGCTCCCCAACTCCCTTTTGGTGCCATATCCCCTGTAAGCTTCATTAAATAAGACAAACTCTATGCATTTGAGACTTTAACAACGTTCACCCAGAAGTGTACCAAGTTCATTCAAATTTTAGCATTGCACGCGTGCGCGTGTGAATGCATGTGCGTAATGACCATATATCATATTGTCTACAGAATCTATATATTTTAATATACTAAATATTAAAGTATGTAATCCAAAAGTATTAAAAAATACGCTCATTCAAGTGTATTTTTATTTGCTCATTTCACGTGGACGCACGTGCACACATGAGCATGGTGACCATACCTTCTTGTAGAAGTCCATTACATCTATCTATATTTTAAATCCCACCCTGTTTGGTTGAAAACCAAGGGGGTTATAACTGTTTAAAGTTTCAGCCAATCAGATTGCAGCACATGTACACGCACGTGTATGCATGTGCAAGGTGACCATACCTTCTTGTAGAGGTCCATTATATATCTATCTATGTTCCAAATCCCATCCTGTTAAGTGTACCAATTTCATTCAAATTTAAGCATTGCACGCGTGCGCATGTGAATGCACGTGCGTAATGACCATATAATCTTGTCTATACAATCTATAGATTTTAATATGCTAAGTATCAAAGTATTTAATCCAAAAGTATTTAAAAAATACGCTAATTCAAGTGTATTTTTGATTTTACTCATTTCACGTGCACGCACGTGCTCACACGAGCATGGCGACCATACTTTCTTGTAGAAGTCCATTACATCTATCTATGTTCTAAATACCACCCCGTTTGGTTCAAAACCAAGGGAGTTATAGCTGTTCAAAGTTTCAGCCAATCAGATTGAAGTGCACGTACATGCACGTGTATGCATGTGCATGTTGACCATATCTTCTTGTAGAAGTCCATTATATCTATCCATGTTCCAAATCCCATCCTGTTTGGTTGAAAACCAAGGGAGTTATAGCTATTTAAAGCATAAGCCAATCAGATTGCAGCGCACGTGCATGCACGCGTTTTTATGATAATTGCTATATATCTTATTGTAGGATATCCTAATACATGCCTATGTTTAAAATTTCAAAGGATTTCGTCAAAAAACAAGAAAGATATTTAGACTTTAGTTTCAGCCAATCAGAGCGAAGCACACGTGCATGCGCGTGAGATCTTGCTTTTTTGACCATGTCATTTTGTCTATGCTTCTAATATATACTTCTGATATGAGTTTTAAAGCATATCATCAATAATTTAAATAGTTACGTCTGTATCAATTATATTGGAAATTTCTCGTGTTGCACGTGCGAGCGCTTGCAAGCACACGTGCATGCAAATGCTTTCATGATATTTCTTTAATTACGGGCTATAGATCTCCCTAATGTATGACTATGTTCAAAATTTCAAATGATTTTATGAAAAAAACAAGAAAGATATTGAGACTTTAGTTTCAGCCAATCAGAGCGAAGCGCACGTGCTTGCACGTGCAATCTTGCTATTTTGACCATGTCATCTTGTGCATACTACTCATATATCCTTACATTATGAGTTTCAAAACATTTCGTCTAAAAATAGAAAAGTTACGGTTATATCCATTATATATTGGTCATTTCAAGTTTTGCACGTGCGCGCTCTTGCAAGCACGTGCGCGCAAAATGACCTTGATTCCGCAAATCTACATAACATGCCTACTAACCCTAAAAAGGTTTCACCTAAGTCGAATGTGTAGTTTACAAGATCACTCGCGGACAAAATTTTCCCAGGAAGAAAAATAATAATAATAAGAATAATAATAATAAGAAACAGAGTAAAAACAATATGTTCCCCAACTTTGTTTGCATAACTAGTGCTAATTGTAACGGGGACCGTTACAGATGTTCCCAAACGCTCCCCAACTCCCTTTTATAATCATATTCCCTGTAGGCGTAATTAAATAAGACAAACTCTATGCATTTGAGACTTTAACAACGTTTACCAAGAAGTGTACCATGTTCATTCAAATTTTATTATTGCACACTTGCGCATGTGAATGCATGTGCGTAATGACCATATCATATTGTCTACACAATCTATATATTTTAATATGCTAAATATAATCCAAAAGTATTTAAAAAAAAACCCGGTCATTCAAGTGTATTTTTGATTTTACCCATTTCACGTGCACGCACGTGCATACATGAGCATGGTGACCCTACATTCTTGTAGAAGTCCATTACATCTATCTATGTTCTAAATCCCACCCCGTTTGGTTGAAAAACCAAGGGAGTTATACCTGTTTAAAGTTTCAGCCAATCAGATTGCAGCGCATGTACACGCACATGTATGCATGTGCATAGTGACCATACCTTCTTGTAGAAGTCCAGTACATGTATATATATCTATGTTCCAAATCCCATCCTGTTTGGTTGAAAACCAAGGGAATTATTTCTGTATAAAGTTTCAGCCAATCAGATTGCAGCGCACGTACACGCACGTGTATGCCTGTGCATAATGACCATACCTTCTTGTAGCAGTCGATTATATATATCTATGTTCCAAATCTTATCCTGTTTGGTTGAAAACCAAGGGACTTATAGCAATTTAAAGTTCAGCCAATCAGATTGCAGCGCACGTGCATGCACGTGTTTTCATGATAATTGCTATACACCATGTTGTAGGATATCATTATGCATGGCTATGTTCAAATTTTCAAAGGATTTCGTCATAAAACAAGAAAGATATAGAGACTTTAGTTTCAGCCAATCAGAGCAAAGCGCACGTGCATGCGCGTGAGATCTTGCTATTTTGACCATGTCATCTTGTCTATAGTACTAATATATCTTTACACTATGAGTTTCAAAGCATTTCATCAAAAAATAGAAAAGTTAAGGCAATATACATTATATTGGTCATTTCACATGATGCACGTGCGCGCTCTTGCAAGCACGTGCGCACAAAATGACCTTGATTCCGCAAATCTACATAACATGTCTACTGACCCTAAAAAGGTTTTACCTACATCCGATCAACAGTTTACA